TAGGTTTTTGCCGCTGTCAAGTGACGTAAATTCAATTACATGCACTCTTCCGCGGTGGACTATATTGTGTCTGATGGATGGAGACAAGGGAGTAATCAGGTTAGATGTTTTTGCCCTCTGAGAGTATCTCGTTAGAAGCTGACAACTTGACTTTAGATCAACTTACAGTTATCCCACAAACAGAGGGTTGAACGCTCTGGAGAATACTCGTCACAACTATTTTATACATTTCAAGGATACCTTTAAGAGACGCGTTCATTGAAAATTGGAGGCATAAATGAAGGTTGGAGGCATAAATGAAGGATAGACACAACTGAATAGTAACTACAACTGTACAGTGTAGCATATATCACCTAAACACCATATTTCATATGTGGTTACCTGGATAGTCCACTATAGTTCATAATGTGATAGTATAAAGTTTAACAGCAAATGAATTGTTTATGTTGCTGTTGTTACACATATGTTTTCACATGGTTTCAATTCACACTTTGTTTACAATATACATCAACCAATCAGACGACGCAGTGCTTCCCTTAGAATGTAGACAACACATTTAGAATATGCTAAGGCCTGTTTAAAATTACACATCAACCTATCTTCTATATAATCTGGTAGAATTCACACATATTCCTTACATGTTTAAGAATACACCAACATGTTGATTATATATATAATGAATTATATGTCGGAGATGGCAAACCAAATGGCTCAGACTAAACCCATGTTAGGCCATGGGACTTTAGTATGCATATAGAGATGTCACATCTCAATATGATTACATTTATGCGTGGGCTTTACATATGTAATGTAATGTTATGAGGAGATAAAGTACAGAGGAAACACATATGGTATTTGTTGCATGCATTGCGAAGAAACACTGCTTATAATGTACACACCAATATGTTATGTTTTCATATCAATAGTGTCAATGAATCATACTTCTGTGCCTGTAACAAGATTAAAATTAATCATTCGTGTCAGGTATATTTAGATTCAGTTTAACGAATTACTTAATCCACGAAAGAAATATACATGTATACTATCTCTGGGGGTGAAACTCATTTGTGACTCTCTCGAATGTTGCTCCACCATTAATACTAATAATATCCAAAATTATATGATAACAACTTTTGAGCCGAGAAAACACGTGTTTCCAAACCTTTTCGGCACAATTATTTATTTATCTCACATTAAATTTTACATTCATCTAATGTCATCATTTCATTTTAATATTATTTATAGTGTGGCAAAGTAAGAACATTTATCTTAATAACGGATTTATTCATTAATGATGTTAATAAATACATTGTACTTGTACGAATGAATTCATTATGAAGCAAAATTAACCCTTTTGATATAAGTTTACTCACCTGTCGCGTAATTAATGTTTGCGTGTTATTGTTTCTCTTTTGGAATTATAAGTTTCAGATTTCAGATTTTAAATACACAACAGCGAAATTGGAAAATATGAAAATTTTTATTGACGCTTATAAATGGTATTCTGTTGGCAACATGTATAAGACATCAGTGTGTTAAACTTCCCGTAAACGTATTCAAGGCATTTGTGTTTGCAGCATTTTTCAATCATAAAAATAAACTGCAGTTGAACAATTGACAAACAAAGTTGAGCATATATAACAACCAGCAGGGAAAGCTAAACAGTGAAATTTAAATACCATGATTGTGTTTAAGCTGGCATATGTAAAACGTGATTTATAATGGACAGTGAAGTGCAGCTGTACGTATGGAAAGCGATTTCTGCAGAAATCCGTGTACGCTATCTATATGAGATCAACAATTACATTGATTTGACGTGGTTAAAATGTTTGGGTTACTTATATTTGAAATGTGTTTATACTTCAGGTGGAAATGAGATGAATTATATGGCACTCTATGTGTAATGGGTGATATGTACATGCCTTACTTGAAACGTTGAAGGAATGAATCATTGCTAGGACATCAAACGAAATATGGTTCAAACAGTTCAGATAATATAACAACTAAATGCAACTAAAATATCGAAAAGGGTTATATTTTGAGTATGAAATAGTTAAAATAGACCTGACGTTAACGAGATGCGAAATACATATTTATGTCTGTTAAGCATTGGTAGATGTGGATATATGGTGCGCACATTCTTGATTAGCCATAAAACATTCCACAACGGATGATTTACTTTCTCTAGAGTTTTTTGTATCTGCTGAAAGAACAGTGGTGGATGGTTCACGTTGCCTCTTTGTTGACATTGATAAAGTGTCGTATTTGCATATGTTCACGTTGATAAAGCTTGGCGTGCATACTCCACTGTATAAGAATATAAATCGTTGCAGTATATATTAAAAACATAAATTATGTGTAACAAAACTGAACGTGTAATGCTTCGAGAAACTATCTGAACTCTTACACAAACAGCGCATAACCGAAAGTACATTGGATTTCGAAATTGAACCAGAAAAGGGGTGGTTAAAACTCATCGCATTTTATCAAATTTTTACCAGCGCATTTGGCCAAAAGGTCAAGTTAGTGAGACCCTAACGTTTCACCCTCTGCCCCCAAGTAACTCGTCGCATGTCATTTGCCCGATACTCCTAATGGGGTAGCGAACAAACTGAATTATCATCGCGCGAGAGGGATATGTCAAGCTGGATCTGAGGCGTCCATATTATCCTTCATTTTATATCCATATCTTGCACCAATCATGGGAAATATTATTCGCGAGAGTCTGTAATTTTCTTTACATGGTTCTTGGATCTTAGATTGAATTTCGAGGCCCCCGGCGGAATTAGGTTTTTGAGCAGGGGAGTTTATCAGCGAGCGGAGCTCTTCAGCTAAAGGAGACGAAATGCACTCAGCTCTTCTCCTCGCGGAGGTAAAAACCGTCTCTCTGTCTTCTTCCTCCCTCCCATCGAATTATGGCGAAATTTGTCCCATCACTACTGTTAAACATTCCCTATCACATAAGAAGCCATTGAAGATACCCAAGGGGCTTCAAAATAAACATTACATGAATGGCAAACTATGCATTTACGAGTTTGGCATATATTTCGTCTTGAGAGCGTCTCTGAGACTTGTTGAGAGCTAGAAACCATATAGTGGTTTAGGCCATCATGGTTCTATCATCAGACCGGAGTTATAATGTCAGAGTAAGAGGACTATAGCCCTGGGCTGTCATGCTCTTCAGCAAATATTTTCGGTGTTTGATAATCATCGAAATTCACATAGTTAGCGTTGCAATTTGTCACAATTGATTCTACCCCCACGGTAAGGCTCAGCTCGTAATAAACTATGCCCTCTCTGCTAGGGCTTAGATCTCGCATGTAGCCACTCCAGTGAAATTGTTATTAACTGCCGCTTGGCGCCAAACGAAGGATAGAGGGTCCTTCGAGGTGAAAAAATAATAAGTGATTTTCTTCCAATGAATGGAATAACTTGCCTGTAGTTATGGCCGAACGGTGTAGACGATATATCGTAATTTTCAGTGGAAGAAAAGATTGATTCCACGATACTTATTCCCATGATGCCTCAAAATATGCTGGGTGAAGCTTTCTCTAAATTCTGCTTCCCATAAAAGCATCTTTTAAAGGAATCTGTAGAGCATATTCTTGTAAATATAACATTGGGACATGGTATAAAAAATATAAACATACAAAACCCGTATTTACATTATGTTACTTGGAGTCTGATGATGATGATGTAATTTTTCTTTTCAAGTGGACATGTGGTATATGTATCATTGTAACAGAATTTATAGCTTATACAAAATGAGTTCGCAATTATGTACAACAGATTATAAATTAAGACGCTAATACTTCAGGCACGTGTACTCTTATCAATGTTACATGTAAAACAATCCATGGCCAGTAACGTTAAACCGATGAATTAAGGAACAATGTAATAATATAAAGATGCGCATGGAGTGATCAGCCTGTGTGTATGATTATTATTATTAGTATTATTTACTATTTACAGATTAAAATAAAAAATGCAGCAAAGAGGGTTTGGGTGATCCTGGCACAGTCCTGACTGGCTAGGCTCATCATCTGCTCAGGTCCCTTGGTCCATCTACACGCAGCCCAGTCAGCGAACGGGACTTCTCCCAGAAAGCGCTGCCTAGTTAAACCCATCTAGAACTTTTCGGAGATCGTGAAGACTCCCCAACACTGCAGCCTTCTGCATTACCCAGATTGTCAGAACGGCTGTATTCTTGGGTGCAAACCCGGGTACTCACCCAGTGTCTGTCAGCAGATTTGGAGGTACCAAACCCAAGGCACCGAGAAAAATGGGAAGTCAGACAACTTGGTACTTGGGATGCAAGCATTTCGAAAGCGAGTTCCGCATATTTTCCATGGTTGTCCTGAATCTTGACAATCACATTAGTGTCAAAAGGGACAGAATTCAATGTTATAAATGATTTAACTGGATTTATCAAAAAGGACAAGATCAGGTTTGTTGGCCTGGATAGGTCTGAGGCTGCATACGGGCCTATTCCAAAGCAATTTGTATATATTATTTTCCATGACACCCTCTACATATTCTGGGGCGTATCATGGATGGGCCTCTGTGTCAAAACCACAAGGATGGCGAAGACTGTGATATAAGCATCGAGCCACTCCATCGTGTCGCTTACGATACTGTGCTTGTGTCAAAGCGGGACATCCACTGACAATGTGTTGTACAATCTCATTAAATTCATTGCATAATCTACATTTCATATTTACATTTAGATGCAAAATCACACATTGACGGTTTCGAGTGGGACGTAAATGGTCTTGAGCAGCAAACAAAAAGCCTTCTGTTTCACTTTTCAGGACTCTGCAGGGGTTGCTGATAGTCTCAACACACTGCACATAATCTCGATGCAGTGGTCGTACAGATAGCCTCTCCTTGAAGAACTGAGTCTGGGCCGATTTGATACGGAAGACACTCATTTCTGTACCGTCCAGCAGTACAGAACCATCAACAAAATCAAAACTGACATTGCGATTATGTCCCACATCCTTGGCTCTTTTAAGAAAACTGTGGAATGCCTTGTTTTCATCATGAGTCTTGACATGCTTCACAATATGATCCTCAGACAAACAAATGTGTACAAAAGTGCACAATACAGTCAAATAATGAAGAGCCTCCGCGTTAATCAAACAACGCCCTCCAATTATGATTGGTATATATAGGCGATTGAGGGAAGAGCAAAGGTGGTGGATCTATTGTCTGACATGATTCTTCGTGTGAGGGTGTCAATACCCTGAATCTCCTGTTTCGTCCAATCAACAGCACCAAAAGAATACGCATAAGTATTTGTGGCTTTGACTTTATTGCGGGCGTTCGACACTGAACACCAGATTTTCTTTAGTCTACATACATGTATGTACTCTGCCCGAAGTTTGTCCTTGATATGGACATTCTGGAGTTTGTCCCTAACCTGCATTCCGAGGTACGTATAGGCCTGACCTTCCAAGAGATGGTTAGTAACTCCTCTCCTAAGTAAACTGACTGATCCTTCCTCTTCTACGTTGCCACGTTTCACATGAAGAATGGTGCATTTGTCGAATCCAAAGGACATCCCAATATCATAAGAAAAGGACTCGACAAGGAGAATTTGTTTTTTCAATGTGGATCCTGCACTGGCAATAAGTTCAAGGTCATCCATGTAAAGGAGGTGAGTAAGGGGTGTTGGGGGTCTGTGCTGAGAAGGTCCCGGATGATAACCTCCCTCTTTGCTAAGCAAAAAGCTTAAAGGATTTAGTGACAACCAGAAAAGCACAGGACTGAAAGAATCGCCCTGAAATATTCCTTTTCTAACAGAAATGGGTTCCGAAGTCACCACCTGCCCCTGCGAATACATCTCAAGTTGAGTTGACCAGCAATTCATAAAAGACTTGAGTAAAACAAGTAGTCGCTCGGGGAGGTCAATACATTTCAGTGACTGCAAAATTCATTCGTGAGGTACAGAATCATAAGCTTTTCTGTAGTCTATCCAACACATTGAGAGGTTACAGTGGTAAGTTTTAGCCTCTTCAAAGATCATTTTCTGACCCAGAAATTGATCCTTACAACCCCAACATCCCTTTGTGGCTCCCTTCTGCTCCATGTAGATAATGTCATTCGAAGTGCAGTACGATGACACGAGATCTATAGGACACCCTGTAAATTAATATTATTATCATTATTATAATCATTATTATTATTATTATTATTATTATTATTATTATTTCCATGCTGGATGTGCACCATTATTATCCCTATTAATGGATTAGTGTGAATTTCATTCTATAGTCACCTATCTCAAATCCTATTGCCATCTCATCCGACAAGGTACCCATTCACTCTTTGGTGACCAGAGGCATCTTTCGAACAAGTGCCATACCAAAGGAGACACTACATCATGTACTTCAGTGAGGAACGAAGTCCTAGAAACTCTCGTGGGTCCACCCATCCATTTATTCTCCGCGACAAACCTTTGCCTGATTCAGGACCTGCGCGTGGTACATAGGACCATGTGCCACCCTATGTATACGACGTCTGGGTTCTCTAAATGCCTTATAGACCTCGATAAGGGTCATAAACAACGAATAAATATACAAACTAGATGCACACCGACACATCCCCAAAGAATAAAACAAACAAACCCGATGGCGTGAGAAATGGCGTGAATTTCGTTACAGGACAATTATCTGCGAATAAATATAAACATGCATTCATTAAACGCCTAAACCAGGTTTATTTGTAAGTACATGTTATATGTATTGTAAGTAAACCATTATCATTTATATCAATTCCAACAGCGTTCTTCTAAGCCCATCATATCATAACCATAAACCAAGAGAAACCCATCATTGTCCATGCATCTAATACTCAGTCATCCAACATGACAATTACACTTATACACCCCATACAAGTATTTACCTGTAATAGGTAATTTGGAAGGATAAGTAGCTTCCAAAGTTGTCACAGACAAATTAACCGGGTATCTCCTTATCTGTAAAAATATATACTGTAATTATCCTTTTACAGCAAATGGTATATTATTATACATATTATTGCCGGGACTATGTCGTCAGGTAAGCGAGTCAAGCACTTACGTTAATAACTATGGTCATGAGTAAATAGATTTGAAATGTACCAGCGCAAACCTCACTGTATGTATTGATAAACAGAATGATCCACATAAAATCAATTAGACATCTGTGATAATCCATGTGACATGTTGAAGTGAGTAATTACAGAAGAAAGATATTGACATAACTTTTCCGATGCCACTTACCCTGCATTGCGTAATAATGAGTGCTGGGTCGAACGTACTTAAGATTGTGCATCGAATTGTACTCACCACGGTGTAAACAAACTATTTTCAAAGAGCTCCGATATGCTGTTTTGATATCAAACAATCTTACTGAAATATTTAACAATCTGCAGAGTGCATTGTATAATTAACCAGTTAATGTGGGGCTACTACATGCGTTCATATATGCATTCCTAGTTGGGATTCCGGGTAAGAATAGGTCCTCAGCAACCTATGCTTGTCGTTAGGGGCGACTAATTGAACCGGGTGGTCAAGCTCGGTGATTTAGTTGGTTGCATGGCATCGTAACCTGACGGCGTGGCGCGTTACTCATAATATCAATCACTGGTTCTACCAAGACTATTATTACTAGGCAGCCGTCATATTGCTTGAATATTGGTTACAATGGCACTATATACGATGCTTTGTAAACAAGTCCATGGTAAAGTGTGGCTGTATCAGATTCATCGTTAATCAGAGGAGTCAGATGTCGTCTGAAAGCAGGGTTTCTGGATTATCAGGGTCCATCTTTACGAGGTTTATGTATCATTAATTTGCTCGAGGTTTTGATTTGAGTGAAAAATTAGTTGAAATTCCTTATGATTAAGGGTTTTACAGCTATTATTTGTTGACCTTTGCCCCAGCAATCTGTTATGGACATCACTTGAGTCCACACGGTTCAATTGTGTTAAATCTGCTGATTCTGATATAAATCACCGTGTTCTTGTTATAAATATTGTCAATCAATTGTCTGCATCAGTCCAAGAACTTAGTTTGCCATTTTGAACAGTCAATAATGTGACACTCGATTCGAACTCTAGTGCTCGTGATGTGATACTCGACTAGTTAGATGCATGCAAACCGGGAATGTTAACTTCAAATGAATGCGAACAAATTAGGAATGTTAACTTCAGATGAATGCGACCAAATCAGGAATGTTAGGTTTAAATGCGAGCAAATCAGGCTTGTTAGCTTCAAATAGATACGAGCAAATCAGGGATGTTAGCTTCAGATGAATGCGACCAAATCAGGAATGTTAGCTTCAGATGAATGCGACCAAATCAGGAATGTTAGCTTCAAATTGATACGAGCAAATGAGGGATGTTAGATTCAGATAGAGACGAGCAAATCAGGGATGTTAGCTTCAGATGAATGCGACCGAATCAGGAATGTTAGCTTCAGATAAATGCGACCAAATCAGGAATGTTAGCTTCAAATAGATACGAGCAAATGAGGGATGTTAGATTCAGATAGATACGAGCAAATCAGGGATGTTAGCTTCAGATGAATGCGACCAAATCAGGAATGTTAGCTTCAGATGAATGCGACCAAATCAGGAATGTTAGCTTCAGATAAATGCGACCAAATGAGGAATGTTAGCTTCAGATAGGTAGGAGCAAATCAGGGATGTTAGATTCAGATGGATACGAGCAAATCAGGGACGTTAGCTTCAGATGAATGCGACCTAATCAGGAATGTTAGGTTTAAATGCGAGCAAATCAGGCTTGTTAGCTTCAAATAGATACGAGCAAATCAGGGATGTTAGCTTCAGATGAATGCGACCAAATCAGGAATGTTAGCTTCAGATGAATGCGACCAAATCAGGAATGTTAGCTTCAAATTGATACGAGCAAATGAGGGTGTAAGATTCAGATAGAGACGAGCAAATCAGGGATGTTAGCTTCAGATGAATGCGACCGAATCAGGAATGTTAGCTTCAGATGAATGCGACCAAATCAGGAATGTTAGCTTCAGATAAATGCGACCAAATCAGGAATGTTAGCTTCAGATAGGTAGGAGCAAATCAGGGATGTTAGATTCAGATGGATTCGAGCAAATCAGGGACGTTAGCTTCAGATGAATGCGACCTAATCAGGAATGTTAGCTTCAGATGAATGCGACCAAATCAGGAATGTTAGCTTCAGATGAATGCGACCAAATCAGGAATGTTAGCTTCAAATAGATACGAGCAAATGAGGGATGTTAGATTCAGATAGATACGAGCAAATCAGGGATGTTAGCTTCAGATGAATGCGACCAAATCAGGAATGTTAGCTTCAAATAGATACGAGCAAATGAGGGATGTTAGATTCAGATAGATACGAGCAAATCAGGGATGTTAGCTTCAGATGAATGCGACCAAATCAGGAATGTTAGCTTCAGATGAATGCGACCAAATCAGGAATGTTAGCTTCAGATAAATGCGACCAAATCAGGAATGTTAGCTTCAGATAGGTAGGAGCAAATCAGGGATGTTAGATTCAGATAGAGACGAGCAAATCAGGGACGTTAGCTTCAGATGAATGCGACCTAATCAGGAATGTTAGCTTCAGATGAATGCGACCAAATCAGGAATGTTAGCTTCAGATGAATGCGACCAAATCAGGGATGTTAGATTCAGATAGATACGAGCAAACCAGGGATGTTAGCTTCCGATGAATGCGACCAAATCAGGAATGTTAGGTTTAAATGCGAGCAAATAAGGAATGTTAGGTTTAAATGGAAGCACATCAGGAATGTTATATTCAGGTGAATGCAAGCAAATTAAGAATGCTATTTTGTGATACATGCAAGCAAATCAGGAATGTTATATTCAGGTGAATGCGAGCAAACCAGGAAGGTTAGATTCAGATGAATGCGAGCAAATCATGTATGTTGGATTCAGATGCCTGTAAGCAAATAAGAGATCTTATATTCAGATGAATGAAAGCAAATCAAGAACGCTAAATGCAGATGACTGCATGCAGATCAGAGATGTTACATTCAGACAGACGCATATTTTGGTGATCTCGATCAAGACAAGACATTACTTTCAAGAAACGAATGGAAAGTCGTAGAAAGAAAACATAGCCATTTTAAGCGAAATCCAACCTTCAAAACTGAAGTAAAATCCCTATTTTGAACTCATTACACGCCGAGTTCAGCGCTCAACGGGGATCAAAATACTTTGTAAATAGTAGATTACAACTTGGAATAAAAACCAAAGGAGACCAAATAAATATGAAAGACATTATTTTGAATACAGTATGTTTGAGCCAAATTAATTTGATATTATTACAATTCCGCGTGTAAATGCATGATTAAAGCTCTGTGTGAAACCGACCAACGTCTAGGATGAATAAGACCATTTATTTGATAAAAGAGTAAAACACATAAGAAAACAACTTCTTCAGTGTAGCAATCGACTCTGTTGCAGTGGATAACGTCGTGTTCTTAAAACTTGCACTGTTTAACTCACGTGTCAAGTCCGAACTCGCTAAAACGCATTTTTCTTCCATATCATAAGTCGGTGTCGTTTCCCATCCAGACGCCTTTAATGTAAACAGTAAAGCCATATGTGAATTCTAATATGTTTCTTCAGGATCAAATCGTTAAAA